TATCTTTTTGTCCATGCAGTGACAGTGGCATATAGGAGCTGAGRTTTCAAGGACACAGTAAAATATACAGATTTTAATAAGTAAAAGGAAGATTGTAGATACCCTGACTGGTTTTTCAGAAAGACCTCTCTCTCTGCTGGCCACAGTGAGAGCCATGGAAGACCTCTCCTGCTTTTAGGAACATAATSCTGCATATGGGAATGTAGTCTCTGCACTTCCTAAATGTGCAAATGCCAGATTATGAGTGGAAAATACAAAGAAACTGGAAAATACAAAGAAACCCAGCTCATTAACATCACCTTTTTAACCATCAATTTAGTTGTGTAATCAAAAAAGAGCATGTGTTTTGGCACACACCAGCAAGCCAGATGCTACTGCCTCTAAATAAGCAAACACTTTGTGTCAGTAATCCAGTGTCGTGGATGCATGGATGGCTTTCAGATGAGAATTCAATTACCTGTCTGAGAGGGTCTAAATTTCCATTGTGGAAGCCGGTTTAAAAAGGAAATAAATCAAACATGTGATGACCAGGCCATACAAATTACTTTTGGGGCTGCATTTTTATATCGCGTTGATTACTTTGATTCGTGGCTCATTACATCCCTTTTATAATGAAGCCAGAAAAGATGTCCCCAACAAAACAGCATGTTCTTAGTATCTTGAGCAATGCTGCCACATGTGAAACACATCATGCACACCAAAATAATCTGAAAATCGTTGCTTTTTGAATCTCAAAGAAGCGTTCYTTCTCTCCAAGCCCTTGCAACACAGCAGGATGATTTGTCCAGCCTGAATCCAAGGAGAGGGCAAATTCTCTCGCTCTGTGAGCTGMATAGCAAGATCCGTGCAGGAATGAAAAGCCATGGGAGTTTATCACGTCTTTCAGAGGGCCGAGGACAAGGAAACCAAGAGCAGTTTGCAGATGRGAGGTGAAAACGGCTCTCAGGACCAGGCTGCTGGTCCCTGAGTCAAACCAAGGCGCTGTGAGCAGCAGGGTTTCAGGAGAGTGTTCAACCATGTGAGAAATAGGCACTTTGAAGATATTAGTCATGTGGCTGAGGTTAGTCACAAGCATAATTTCCTTGCTAAATTGAAGCACACTGGAATAAGTGTATAATAATGAATGCAGAATGAGGGCAGACTTTATTAGAAGCCTGTGGAAAGCCATGGSTTCCCCTGGCTGGGTTCCTTTGGGTCTCTGTGTGCATAAAAATGATTTTACTTTCTCTGCTATAAAGCCTCTGCACCAATAATTAAGTGTTCTAGGTGGATTAGATTCATTGTGCTTGATACCATCATGTGTGGGCCTTTCCTATTCTCTCTCTTTGCCTTTGTGAAGCCCATGGCAAACTGTACATTGCCTCGATATTTACTTGTAACTTTCAAGAAATCAAGGAAAACTCTGGCAACCTGTCCAAATTTTTCCTATTTGTTAGATTTTCCCAGTCTCCTTGCATTCCCTTAACATGCCAAATGATGCACAAAACATAGATTCATTTTCTGCCTGTGAGTTGTCTGTACTAAAACCATGAACCCTGTTCATGCCCAGAGTTGACTGTTGTTCTAGMCTGGATGTGGCTTCTGTGCACTCTGAGTTACAGATCATTTATCCACTATAAGTTCTTGTATCAAGTAGTCTGGTTAAAGGAAAGGTCAGGCAAAGTAGTCAGATAAAATGTTCAACCCAGTTCAAAGGTCTCTGATCAAGGTGGTTGTTTTCCCCTTTATAGTCAAGGAGAGGAGCAGACAGTTCTGGGACACAGTTTCTCTCCTCCAAAGATTGATAACTAATCCCACCTGGAAAGTGTCACTCCTCCTTTGTTCTGGAGGAAGAATATCACAGCACTTCTCTAGTGCGTGGCTGCTTCTCTGTTGGCACTTGGCTCRTGCTGGTAGTAGCTCCTGCTTGGGAGGTAGAAGCCTCAGCTTCTCCTGCTCCTCATCCCCATGTTTGTCAAGGCTGGCAGCACCTTGCCCTTGCCCTGTTGGAAGAGGCCTGGTCTTATTGCTGAAGACTATGAGGTCTCCAAAGTCATACGGGATTCTTGAATGGAGGCTGAAGTTCAGTGGCAAATGGTGCCCTTGATGTTTCTTGTTGCACTTGCTGCTTATAAAATTACAGATTTGGATAAATTAGCCCAGCATATGTCCTTTCACCTTCTCTGTCAATGTATATCCACAAAATATATTCAGATTTAGTAGCATGAAATGGCCTAGCCCAAGGCTTTCTAGCTGTAATGGTGAAATACTAATAAATTATTGGGCTACCGGGTTGCTTTCAAATATGGGAGAAGATTTMATTAAATCATACTATGACTGTTGATTAAATACAATTTCTTAAATAGCAGTTTTAATCTCAATTCAATGTACAGGAGAAGATTGATGCTGCTTTGTTATACCAGATATAAATAACTCAGAGCTCTGTTTGCATGTGAGGAAAAGTAGGTTTTCCTGAGATTCTGGTTGCAGATCATCTTGCAAGACTTCTGCTGAGTGTAATCTGAACCTTGGTGTTGTTCTAAATTAGGTCTGACTTACAATGTGGCATGTGTCTTTTAACTCGATGAAATCTCTTTAAATGATACATATCAAAGTGAGTACTGATTTGGGTCAAGGCACCTTGGTGGCCGATTCTCAGAGGAGAGGCAGTCAGCAAATGCTTTCTGAAAATAAAGTTTCATTAAGTTGTGGACCTGAAAAAGCATAAGTGCCTTTTTGAATACCAGAATAGCAGAAAACATGGATCATCGCCACCTCAGGTATTTTGGAATTGACTTTCTGCCATCAAATAAAGGCAATATAGTGCTTCTTGTGGGGTGAACAGCCCAAAGCTACTATATCTGTTATACTTTTCAACCTCAAAGTGATTTGCACTATTTTTGCTAAGTCTTATGAAGTAGGTAAAATCATCCTCCTTCTATAAGTGGGAAGAGTATCCTTCTATAAGTGGGAAGAGTAAGCCTTGTGGTTATGAAATGACCAGGACAAAGCCCCAGAGAGCGTTGTGCAGCTATTAGACCATGTTCTTCTCCATTGAAAAATAAATATATGACCATGAATACCTTCTTGAAGGTTTGAAAATATCCTATGGACTCTGAAAATGTCTCTCAAAGRGTGATATCATCAAAGATAAAGAGGAAAGATAATAAAGTGCTTAGATATCGYATAGGTTTTTGTCTTTCAAAGGTGACTTTGGTGAGTCTGCAGTTGTAGATTGTGGTTTGGATTCTTCAGTGACTGRTTTTTTAGGGCTATGTGGTAAGGTGATGGCTTGGATGTCTCTCTCATATTGGCATTTTCCTGTACTTGACAGAGGGAAAAGAGCATCTTTGAGTAAGATTATCTTTAGGAATTTAACTACTAATTCATTCTACTTGATGGGTCAAAAATGACTTTGGAGATTCCAGATAGTTTGACAGAGGATATTTCTCTATAATATTCTGTTTTATACAACCCTTCCTTGACTCTGCGTGTTCAGGGGGGTTGGACTTGGATAATCTCTAGAGGTCCCTTGCAACCTTAAGGATTCTATGATTCCTTTGTGGTCTTTTCAGTTAGAGCTGATGAATCAAAGATAACTTCAAGTTCATTGAAGGTCACATGAACCCTACCTTCCTCTGGCCAAAGGATGTTTGATTTGCCTCATGTAGTTTCTTGAATACTGTCCTGACTTYAGAATGTATTTGATGATGTTATTTGACATGCAGTTATGTGCACAAAGCGTACTGGAATGGCTCACATTGTAAAGTAGCACGTTGCCTTTAGAGACGTTCTGTCTATTTATACCGTGTTTGGCACCATGCACCGTGAGGGTTTTATGATTATTTTTGTACTCTTTCAAACCTTTCACATCACCGCAAAGTCGATGGCTGCTCCATGTATGTATGACTTCCACAAGGTTGGGTAAGGTGGTCACCAGATTAAATAGCAGCTGCAAAGAAGGCGGTGGGTACCAACACCTGACAATGAACACATCTTTCTACCTGACAAAATGGCCTATCAGCTTAACTTTTGACTTGGAAGAGGACTCTGCTCATGCTGCTCATGTGCTGACTTGTTAAACACATGCCCAACCTTCAATAAATTAGGGAGTTTGTGCAAGAAGTTTGTCAAACAGAAGATGACCGGGCTCACTTTGCCAGATTCCAACCCTGCACTCTCTTCTGTTWTTTGCTGGTTCTTAATCCAGTCCTTTAAGTTCTTGTTCATAGGACGTGGTGTCCTCCTCATGGGGAAACCTTTCATTTGATACCACTGGTATTTCTGGGTCCTTGGCCTTGTCTGCTGCCTTCCACATCTGCACATCCTCTGTGAACTGCAGCATTGTGATGTTATCTGCACATGTGAAGAGGAAAATGCAACTCCTCTGAAGACGCAGAGATTCTGACTTGGTGCACGTGAAGGCTGAAAACTAATCTCTTTGATGATTTAACAGAAGTCTTCATCCTAAAGATCTGTCAGTGGCCTTGGCTTCATTCCATACAAGAGTGTCAYGGACAAGTTGTGGGTCATTTGGAGGACTGCAAGGGAACCCTCCACTTGAGAGGCTCTCAGCATTGACCCCGGGAGACAATCATTCCATGGCCCTCCTTCCCACACTGTGGGAGAATGGTGACCTCTCCTTTTGCTTGATTCGGGGTCAGTGCTCAAGAAGGGACCCACGTGAGTACAAATTCCTTTGACTGTTCACACTCTATGGATGAAGCCTGTGGATAAGACTATACTGCAGTATRAGGCTGTAAATTCGTCAGGGGAAAGACTGGTTTTCATACCGCATCTTTTATCTATAAGGGGGGAGAGAATTAAGAAGTCATTTAATTAATTATTTATTCATTTACTTTTTTTCTGACCAGAGCTGAAGCTTTGATTTTTGCGGCGTGCTTCCCTTCTCCCACTGAATCCTTTCTGTGCGTTTCACTGTTTCTCTGGCAGAGCGTTTGAAAGCCCCACTTTCCTCCTGGGAGTTTACAGCCAAACTGATGCAAACTCTTTCTTCTCAGGTGTCTCACGATCATCTGTCATCCAATGCAAGCCAGGAGGCAACTGCCCCAGCAGACACAGAGGCATGACTAGGCAGCTCTCCCCTTTATCTGTTGCGGAAGATTCTGCTGCTCCCATTCTTGAGCTGCAGAATCGAAGTCCCTCGGGCATCTATCGGCACAGCAGAGTCGAGAGGCAGAGCAGATCAGGTAGGCATAACAGCCGCCTTCCCGGCGTTCCAGTATGCCTGCAGAAGGCCTCTTGYGTCTGTCTTTTGAAAGAGTCAGAACGTTGTTAACGTTAGTTTCTGGTGGTGTGAGCYGCAAAGCCACGTGAAAGTCCTTCCTGTACCTGTGTGCAAGTTTGGGTTAGGTGGGAAGGAAGCAAAGATGGGAGAAAAAGACCTGGGTCCCCATAGGAACATTCAATGTGTTGAGAAATCAGATGGATAAGGCCAGTAGGCACAGAAGATCTTGGAAGGATGATTAACAGTAGCACACGAGTTAGTCTTACAAGGTGGTTATGTTTCCTCAGCTTCAGCCTGGCCAGAGACCAGGACCATTAAAAGCCAGCCATATTCCTTCTCAAAGACAATGACAATCTCAGCTCAAACCACGGACGGTCTGATGAAGAGGAAGAGAAGGAGCAACAGGTGGAAGGATATCTAGGACATACCATCACAGTTCAGATCATCGATCAGCTGCACATCAGGGCTTCCTTCAGGAATGTCACCCTCTTTACTGCAGGAGTTTAGCTCAAATGAACCTGTAGGTATGGTGAACGCTGACTTCTTCACCACAATGTGCATCCATCATCAGAAGGGGTGGGGTGGGAGCACTCACAGTATCCAACCACAGGCCTTTGAGTCTGCTGAAATGTATTGTCGAGGAGGAGGAGGAAAGAGCTAAATGACTGAAACTGTGTTATCATCCAAGCTCTTTGGAAAAGTTTGTGTGTATATACTGGGAACAGAAGGGGTGGAAGAAGAGTTGGATCCCCCTCCCACTGCAACTGCAGGAGATGAGCCTTTCTCCTGTCACTGCACTGACAACGGCAGCAAGAGGCAACATTTTCAGTCTTCCAAATGTMGGAAATATGGAGAGAAGCATTGTTCCTGTAGCAGGAACAGTGGAATAACAACTGAAATAGCAGCCAAAAAAATCTGTTGATAGAAACTCTTAGAAAAATACTGGAGATGATTTTTGAAGYAAAGAGTGGATGATACAGCATCTTGCATTAAAGATCATACCTAAGATACTGAAGAGCTTATCTTTAAATATCAGTCCAAGATAATTGCATACGTGCTGTCCCTAGGGTACAGCCAAAACTGGAACCATCTTAAGTCCTTTAAGTCAGGACMTAAGTCTACTTAAGAAAAGAGTAGTGCTTTGAGAGTCTTCCAAACATGTATTTTGTGATTTTATTTTTCTTTTTAAACCTGTTCTTCCCATCCTCAGTAGTGAGGTAGGATTTTCCTAACAGGAAGATGAATAAATATAAAGAATCTTCTTTTCTAGAATGCAGTTGTCAAATAGTGAAGAGTTTGGAGGAAAAGACAGGTTTTCTTTTCCCTTATTTCATTCTTTCAAAACATAAAAGCAAAAGCCCTTTCTGTTACCATCTTGTCACAGAGACATCACAAGCAGAAATTATGTTACCCATAGACAAATGGACTCTGCAGGGGGTTTTCTGCTAGCTGCCTTTCAACACAGTGTGCATTGACCAGTGTCATCTGCGTGTGCCACCTGCAGTGTCATCTGCATTCTTTCACTGTCATTTCATCCTTGTTGAGCTCTCCCATTGCTTCCATGCTCTTGACAGGTTAAGTCTTTTGTTCTGTTGTTGTGTTTTAGACTAATCTAAATACAAAAAGAAGGATTTCTGCCGCCTTGCTAATTGTAAAATGCTGTCTACTAGTCGCTCTGCCTAATGACTGTATTTGCTCTCCGTTGGCATATCATCGTGTATCTGAATACAAGGTCTACTTTCCAACTCAATCCAATTCCAACTCCATGACTGGAATCCAATCTAATAATGGACTGTGTGCCTGTTATCCATGTGTTCCCACCATCTTTGAGGTCAGGCCCTGTGGCTTTGTTTGTTTTGTTTGCTTTATTTGTTTTAAGATATTTCTTTCCTTGTCCTTGTGAATCTTTGGCCAAGATCTAGGTGTGTGCATTTTCAAAGCGACTGTCATGCTACTAGGCCACTTTGGACAGGGATCCATCCCAATTTCACTTGGGCTGTCTCTATATCTATGTGCCTAGTCTAGTCTGATCAGGTTCCTTCAGTAAGAGAAGGAAAAAAAAGGAAAAAAAGGGGAAGATCAGCACATCCCATCCCTCCTGCCTCTCCTACATTAGAGTGGGGTGAGCCACTTTGTCTCTCTGTCCATTTCCACAGAGCATTGAGGGATCATAGGCAACAGTTTTAGGCTGAACATACAGCTCTTTGCTAASTGTGTTACACACCATGATGGGTCTAATCCCTTAGCAATTACAGAAGCTCCCCACTCAACTTTAAACCAGGCTAAAACTTAGGTTGATCTGTTAGACCAAGCTAGGACTTGCAAGAAGTGGATGTTTCTGTGGCTTTCACTAACATTCAAACCTGGGACTGTAAACCTGAAATCAAATACTAATGGTAGTGTCATGCATAGTAACAGTATTTCCATAGCTATTTGGTAATTGAAAAATAGAAGGCATGCATAAAAGTGCTTTAGTCTTCTATCATGTGATTACTTTAACTGTTAGCTGAAGAAGGACTAATTACATGGTAGGTTTGCTTAGGAGAAAAACCTGCGAGTGAGTGTTACACAATATGTTCTTTTTAAGTCTTTCTAACTTGCAAATAAAGTATAATTTCTCTCTCAATAGAAGATGCCAGTCAGTTTTATAAAAATATCTATTTTCTCGTATCATCCAAAGAGAATGTTAAAATCTTGTTTRTGTTTTCAAATCTGTGTCTGGTTATCCTTTGCATGTTTTTAATAACCCTTTAGTTTCTATAAAAATCCTTGATTCACTACTAAAACAGGGAATAGCTAAATGCTCATTATTTTCAGAAAAAAAGCCACTGTACACTTACAAAAAACGCTCCATGTCTTAGAAAATTGTTGATTACAAATGCACTCTTTGAGATGATGAAATATTTTTTTAGATATAATGCTTGTTTAATGTAATAACTTGGAACCTCGATCATATTTCTTTACAGGAAAAAACAGTAGCATAAAAAGAAAGTGAAATTCAAGTCTGAAACCTTACCTCTCTAGCAGTTATGTTGAACCAATTTCCTCTTGAACAGTTTGTTCTCACTGCACTGGATCCATAGCCCCTCTTAATCTCAATGGTCATATGATTTTGAATAGTATAGCATGCCATATATCGATGCCATTGATAATTGATAAGAATAGTTCATTTGGCATAGCCGCAAGTCATGATTTTTGAAGGAACTCCTGTTTCTCATACGAAAGCAAGGTGATATATTCCAAGGTGGTTAATGTTTGGAGCTCACCATTGCCTTACGTGCACAGGAGGCCTAAATAAATCAACCGTGTTGTTGCTATTCAATAGCTAACACAATTGGATTAGTTGTTCTCAACTGGGGATCTCAGGACTCAAAATAGGATTTATGGGTTGCATCTCTGGAAGATTTGTATGGAGAGCAAGTCATTAGTCAGTGAGGTTAAATCCTCTACAGAGTCGACCACTTTCATGGGAGCCTGCAGTGGTCTGCAGATTAGATCTAAAAACTCCTATACAAGAATGGAAAATGACAGCTTTCCAATTTCTCCTCGGTTTTCTGTAAGGTTTATTTTGAGGTATGCCAAGCTCCAGTTTTGTCCAGCTTCCTTTTTTAACTTCAAAAGTGTAAATGCACAAACTTGACTGAAAAAAAAAAAAAAAAAATGTCTCCACTTTGATATATGAAACCACCAGACTGTTTCTTTTTCCCTTCTCAGCTTGCAAATAAAAATGTGGTTCTTGCTTTAAAATCTTGAATAATAATAACCTGTTTCTGGCTTCAGATGTACAGGCTCTGATGGCTTTTATGTTGCAAACATGCACAGTAATTGACTTTATAATATAGTCAGTTCCAAGGGATGTAGCTCTATTCTGGAGGCTTGGCTGACAGAAGGAAAGGGGCTGATAAAGCCAACAGTGGCAGCAGCTTAACCGTAATGCTGTTTCCTCAGGCCTCTGCATTTGTTTGTATTTTGTTCTATCCCCTTGAAATGACAGAGATGGTATTACCGAAATATTTCTGTGCAGGATTTCAGTGTTTGTAACGTATAGGGGAATTATGGAGAGAAGGGAGCGGGATGGTTTGGATCACAAAGGGAGATTTTGTGAAGAATTGTTTGATATCTATTCGTCATGTGTGCAACTCTTCTCCCCTTTCTCTCTTCTTTTTCCCTTCTTTTTCTAGGAGAAGAAGGAACACAAACACACACAGAGAGCGGCAACCAAGAAGCAGAGAGACAGACACGATGTCAGTCTTGCACGTCCACRTTTCTTAAGCTTATCTGGAGATTTCTGATCATTTTGTCTGTCTCTTCGTCCTGGGTGGGGACCACGCAGTTTGTCAAAATCACGTACGAGACCTTTGACTGTCCCATTTTCATGACTTGGTTCTCAACAAACTGGAACATTATGGTTTTTCCCATTTATTATTCTGGGCACCTTGCAACTGCACAGGAGAAGCAGTCTCCAATCAAAAAAATCAGGTAGGCTTCATCGTGGCAGTGTCTGTTTATACAGTATGGTTTCTGTGGACTGAAATTGCAGCTCTTTTCTCAGTCTGACCCATGGKGCCAGAAGGCAGAATAAGGACACGCTGCAGAAAATCTCACTCATAAAGAGCTTACAAAAGGTTAACAGATGAGTGATATATGCTTGAATAAATGGGCAGTTGTTAAAGGGCTTTTTTATTGAGTTGAGAAGGTCAGTAAATTGGTTCTAATCCTGCTATTATGTTATCTAATATCTCTGTATTGTGTGTTCCTGTTTGGAATAGGCTTCCACTGAGCATTAATTAATCCGTTGTGGAATATTTATGACAGAATTGTAGTGTAAAACACCAGCAGAACTACTCATAGCTGAGAAGGAAGGTGCTCAAAGCTGAGGAGGTGGTTTCCATGGAGAAGACCATGGCTTGATCTCTGATCTCAATGGGTATAACAGGATGAAAACTGTGACCTTGCCTCCATGTGCTGGATCAGAGCCTGGCGGAAAAGCAGCTCTGAAGCCTTCTCCACCCTCCTTTKCCTGGGGTGGGAACTAGAGCAGGATGCTCTTGCCTCTCCTCCCTCCGAAGCTCTGGGGGGTTGGTGTAGCAGAGTGGCTCTTCTGCTAAGGAAACAATGTGAAGGCTTCCTTCCATCTTCCATCTGTTTTTTTGCTATGCGGGTAGGCCAGGCAATCAGGTTCCATGTGGAAATGATGTTTCCTCTGAGTTGTGAGAGCTCATAAAATCCCAAAGACATCATCTAGTCCAGCCACAAACTGTCTTGGCTCCAGTCTAGCCAGTTCTTAAGCAAGATGAGTCTGACTTGTTCTTGGGAGTCTCCAGTGCTGGAAATATCCACTGAACTTCCACTCCTGGGAAAATTCATTTCTCATTTCTTCCTCCACTTCCATCCTTCTATCCTTCACTAATCCAAAGTGAAGTAGAAGCTGCTGTAAAGGACAGAGCCAAACTCAGTTTCTTACCAAGGGGTGATATACTTTGTCCATGGAGGCAAGGTGGTCAGAGGATTGTTTGGGATGGGTGCCAGTTCTGTTGCTCCAGTGCAGACTTGCTTGAGGAACAATTTTCATTTCAGCAGAATTGTCCATGCTGGAAGGTATGAGCCAGCACATGGCTCTCACCTAGTCTGAGCTGACAGAGGGTTCAGTGTGGCTGCCCCTGAGCACCCAGGGAATTTAGTCTGCCCCTATCAGGGCTGGAGTGCAGCAGGGCCAAATTCTCCCCTCAGCTGCTTTTGCCAGGATCTCAGCTGTAATTTGACCCTAAATTGTCAATTCCAATCGTTGTGATTGAGTTGCMCTTAATTAACTGCTTATCTGAAAACCGTGGTGCTTTATGTGTTAATGATGCCTTTGTTCAGATCCTTTCTGGAGAATGTGTAAGAACACTAACAGTGTCAGCTTGGCTTCTGGGTGCAAGGTGAAGTAATTATAACTGCAGAGCAAATAAGGAAGAAGGTGAGGATAAATATTCATCCAAACAGATCCTCTGCAGTTAGTTGATTGATTATGTATCCATCAGAGCTAAATTTGGGACATCGTATTTGTGACAATACTTATAAAGATGTGCCTAAATACATTTCCTAAGCTGTTAGAGATTTGAGGACACACGTATGTGTGCTTGCRTACTGCACGTGCACATAAATTTGTGTATGCAGAAAGATGCGAGTAGGTCTGTGCATTTGGGCGAACAGGAGAGCAGTGCTAGAGCTGGTGGGCCAATGTAAAGCATGTTAGAAATCACAGTTTGCTGACTGATACTGGCAGTTCCCAGAATGTTTCTTATTCTAGATATATCAGGAGGTCAGATCCCAGTTTGGAGGTGACTGCTGGCAAGTGGTGATGACTTCATGATCCTCGTGATGAATGCTCGATGACTTGGAGAAGTGAAAAGCATCATTTGTTGATTTAAAATTCRGAGAGTCATAGGAAAAAAAGAAAAACACAAATAGAAGAGGTCATTGGAAGACCTTTAATCCAGCTTTTTATCCAGAGCGTGGATTGTTTCAAAACAAGTTCAGCACTTTTTATAATTATCAGTTTTGTATTCTGGATGTCGTTCCTGTTATTTTTGTGGAGTAGCTGATTTCTGTCAGTGAGATCTATCTCTCCTGTGACTTTTCCAGGCCTGCCTCCGGGTCCAAAGGTGCTTTGTCTTTGTGCGTCTAGAACATGTACTTGATCACTGAGATCTTTCAAGAGCTATGACATTTTGTCCAGCAGATATTCCTGGTGGATCAGAACAAACAGTGTCTCTGATATCTTGGCAGAGACCAGCGATCGTGCTAGTGACTTGCAGGATGCAGCCCCGGGCTGGCAAAGCTATGTGGAGCCTGTGTCACTTTTGACATTTTTAGAAAATAAATCCCACTTGGAAGGATAAAAGTCTCCATCCTCAACCTCAGGCTGGCTTTCTAAAAGGGTTATAATCTTTGAGGTTATAATTGGGTATTTCTCACCTTTCACACTTTGGAGATTAAACATTGTGGTCTCAAAAACTTAACTCCCTATTATTACCTTCCCACTGCATTTCAATACCATATTTTCACCTTTCTGAGGCAGAAGACACAACTTTTCGCTTCTTCCCAGTACTAGCAGATAACAGATGTCCCACATAAAAACCTTGCAGTGTGGGTGAGAACCTTGCAGTAATGATGAATAAAATGTTCTGGAGGTCAGTAATAGGAAATCAGCCCCCACCAATATTTACCAAAGCAGAAGACACTCATAGATTGGGAACAGAATTGTTAGAATTAGGACATGGGATAAACGGGYAATATTTTGAATGTCAAGAATTTTTTTCCTCCTCCAAGTCTTGGCTTCTCAAAGATAAGCAGTTGTGATGCTCAAAGGCTTTCTGCCAGATTATACCCTYGATCTAGGAGCCAAAATTAATCCAACAGGTGCTATGCAGTGAGAAAGCCTGACTAGGAACAGTGGTTGGCTGCAAGTGTAGTGAAATATGAGTGTTTTGGGAAGAGTTGTTCTTCTAGCAAGAATGATAACGAGATATGAGCACTCCTTAGGCAAAAACAAAGTAACTGGTGTGTGGCTCTCATTTGCAAGTTTATAWCATCCACAAATCCCTCCACTTCTCCTTGCAGCTGTATCTCACCCAGCTTCCCCAGGAGCTTTGGAAATTGCATTGCAAATCTAGATCCTTGCTGTAGAGGGCTTTTGAGAGGAGAGATGAGGTTTTGCCTTTCCTGAGCTACCTTGAGCAGCTCAGTGGTAGGGGGAAGACGAGCAGCAGCAAGCCAGGGCATCGCCTGGGTCAACCCTCTTGGGGGAAAGCGCTCCTGTCCTTTGTGGCCCTACTTCCATAAGACAGGCTCTGCTTAAGCGAGAGGGTCACACAAACGTCCCTTTGTTTCTACTCTAGCTCTTGAGGAGATAAATACTGGGGCTGGGCTCTTTCCTAAGGCTGAGACGAGAAGCAAAATGAGATTTCGGTCAATGCTGGAAAGCAATCCGCTACTTGCACCATTACCCTGTCTGGTGTCCTAGAATGGAGCTAGAAGTCATTTTACTGCAGCAATTGATGTCATTCAGCAAGAAGGACCTAAACGACACAGTAGCAACTCGTGCTCACAAAAGGTCCCGCAGTGCTGCTTGCTGGCGTAATGTCACCAGCGTCCTGGCCAAATTGTAATCTGGATGATAGAACTGCATTGCACCTATTCATATTGCCCCAGGTAGTGKCTGTTAGCTCTGCGTTTTTCTATAAGCTGATTTAAAACCAGCTGCTGCATTACGCTCCAGAGGCTGCGGGGTGTCAGGGGTGAATAAACCTATTCTTCCRCAGGAGCTGGCATCAGAATGGCTAAGGCACGATGCAAGCTATTTAGTGGGTGCCAGAAGCAAAGCTGCSCGACTGCCTGTGGTGCTGTAATTCCTGAGAGCATGGCACACTGCCTAGCGCTGATGACTGAAGGCTACCTACAAGGAAAAAGAGCTATTTGTATTAGAGGGCAGGTTTTAAATAGGCTAATCTTGCTTTTGGAAGGAGTTTGTGTTGTGGTGGTTTCAGGGTCATGTCTCTCTTTAAGTCCACAGCCTACAAATCCTGCGTGAAGAGGAGGGAATCCATGGAGCCTTCTCCCCTTAGCCCAGGGTTTTATTCGCTGTCATGCTGTGATGGCTTCTGCAAGTTCAATTTTAGTTGCATGCCAAAGAGGCTGAGTTARCGACGGAGCAACCAGTCCTCGCAAAGCCTAAGGCAATTTACTCTAGACATGACTGCAAGAACAGTCCTCTGTCTCCTCTCTTGCTGAGCATTATTCATCAGGCACGTGGAATTCTCCTGGGCATGGTCATGAAGTCATCGGGTCTTTGTCTTGCTTGGCAGCAGCCTGTCACAAATTCTCGCTGCTTTTCTACTGGGAGATGAGTAGCCACGAGCTGCYGCTTTGTCTTGTCACCCTGTGCTCACTGTGTGTGTGATGAARCCTCTTCAAGGTGCTTAAGAAGTCCATTACCTGGGATATGTGAAGCACTTCCAGATTCTTTATCTCACCCTGAATCTCTTCCCCTCCCTCCCACTGCTTGTAGGAACTCAGAGGTACGTGACAGTTGCGGTGTTGCCACAACTGTCTCTCCCAAATAGTTCCCTGTCCCTTGGAATCAGGAGTTGGGACCCTGTGGACTCCATCCTGATGATACGGGACCTCYCGGGGACCTACAGGCCACCAAATGCTGCCCCTTCCTTGCACAGYTAATTGCCAGGACTTTGGGAGCCTCCTACCCTCCCCAGTAGTGAAGGAGTAATAGTGCTGGGCCTATTCCGAGTGTCTCTCTGGCCACTGTGGTCACCATGTCCCGTGTCTGGTCCTGCTGCTCTCTCGCTCCTTGTGCTGGCCCCTTCGATCTGCCTCGCAGGGAGCTGCAGTGATGGATATAGTTTCCACAGCATGTTTGTAGGAGAGCTTTTGGAGCCTTGCAGTCTCCACCATCATGATGTGCTTGTCCGGTTCTGCCGTTGCCTTTGGGTGCTGCCAGCCCAGCACGGGGACAGTAACCGTGCCCAACCTTTCTGCCTTGCTTTGATTTAGCACGAGCTTTGATTTAGCACTTCCCTCTGAGACAGATCCTGACACTGAGCTGCCCGTATCTGAGACAGGTTGGATGCACAGCCAGGTGACCATCCCATCGTGCATGGAAATCGATGGCAGATTTCCCACTGGTTGGTACAGAGCAGRCTCAGGTCTGGGGTCCAGTGACTTCCAGGTCTGTCCTGAAATGAGGCATAACCTTGACTTAGAAGCACTCTCTGTGACCATCTATATCTCAAGAGTGAGAAAAACACTCTTTAAATATTAACTGCTCTGTCTGCAAGTCAACCATCGCTAAAGTCTGTGCTGTCACTCAGTCCATTCTCAGTCAAGGAAAGAATTTCATCACATTTAACTCCTGTTGAAATCAGTGGTACAAAAGTGCATGTGCAAACTTAAGCTGTCATTTATTTGCTTCGCCAGTTATTTGCTTTGCYTCTCAGATAAGTGAGCTATTCCCTTGCCACGTGTAACGTTTCTCTTCTTGGAAAACTGGCCGAGTTGTGAGAGCAGCCAGGTCAACCAGAGTGAAGGAAGTACTCAGCTGATCGCCTGCCTTAGGATTAGCTTGTTCGGCACCCTGGCAAAGAGTTTGAGAAATAAGTTTATTGGTAACCAGTTGACTGCCTTGTAGCCCAGATTGTTCCAGTGGCAGCAAGGAATGAATGAATGAATGAATGAATGAATGAATGAATGAATGAATGAAGACATAGATGATCTTATGTGTGTATTGCATAGGTGTTATTGCTCTACTTACCTGGAAATGAAGATGATCATTTCCATTCTTACTAACAGAAAACAAAAGATATTTTTAACACCGGATTTCTGTAGAATAACTAAAAGTGGCTTAGGAGGACAGAAAACGATTCTGTCTTTGAAACAAAAATTAAATCCAGATAATTACTACCCCCTACCTCCCAGTAACAAGCAGTTTTGACTACTTCCATGTTGCAGTGCATTCTTTGAAGTTGCTAATTAGTCCCATATGATTAGCATCTTAGGAATCTTTCAAACATAGCCATAGTTAGTTGTGAATGCTTTGGGGCCTGAAGACTCACAGAATTTAGATGAGGCCCTTAGCTTTGCCATGTAACAATGTTTTGCAGTTGGATGGTACTTGGTGCACTCCAACTTAGTGTTTTGTATAGACATGGTGAAGGGCCTCCTGCGTCAAGGCCCTCAGTGCATCTAGRGCATGTCAAAGAATTCCTTTAACCAAGAACAGAGGTGACTGCTGAAAACAGATCATCAGAGCTTGGAAAACATTGAGGATTTTCAGGAGGGCTGCAAGAATGTCTCTTTAAACCCACCAGGTATCCAAGTCCTTGGTCCTTGGATGCAACTTCTCTTTGGATAATAAAATAGACCTGTCACACACCTTTCCTTTTCCCCTGCCCTTTCCCAGTCTGTTGCTTCACTCTCTTAGTCTCCCTGGCTGGTGGGAATTTTCCCTGCAATGGTGATATGTCTGTCTGTATTGCTGAGTATCTTTAGGTGATTCTTAAAGCTTACTTGGTCATATTTCAGAATATATTTCAGTAAAAATGAATGTCAGAATTGTCAAGCTACAGAGAAAATTGCAGTTATAAACCTTGTGTTCATGATCATGAAGGCAGAGACTGAGAACTGTAGGTGTATCRTAGGTAACTTTATTATTTGTATTGGAATACAAATGGTCTCTGGGTTTCTTGTTGCATAGAGTGTGATTCTTCCAGGTAAGTCTCTTCTTTTCTATTTGTGAAATTGCTCTGTTTTAGGTAAAAAAATGGGGGTTATTCTCTCAATGCTCACTGCTCAAGACTTTCTTATGGGTGCACAGAGTAGCTAAGGACAGCACGTAACTAATTGCAGAATGTAGTAAAAGTCTAATGAATGTTTTCTGTGCTGGAGTGAATGCTAAGCAAAATCCTGGCTGAGTTTTAAACTCTTTTCTCTTCTTAGGGAATGCAGTCGGATTTTTGGTGAAGACGGTCTGACGCTGAAACTGTTTCTTAAAAGGACTGCTCCCTTTTCTATTCTGTGGACTTTGACTAACTACCTGTATTTACTGGCTTTAAAGAAGCTGACAGCCACAGACGTCTCTGCCCTATTCTGTTGTAACAAAGCTTTTGTCTTCTTGCTTTCTTGGATTGTGCTGAAAGACAGGTTCATGGGAGCAAGGGTAATGACATCCTTGATTTTTTTCAACTTTCCTATATTCCTAGTTACCATTAAAGCCATGCTTTAAAAATAGCCATTATGCTGCCCTAGTACTGCCCTGTTGTGGTATGTATAGACCATGAAACCATTTCTCGTTAACTTTATGATGCAAAACTAAGCTTGGAATCAGTGAGAGACCTCGGGCTCCCAAGGTCATAGGCTGTGGGAAGTTGAAGGAGCTACCACAACTGGATGGTAACTTGATGGATTACAAAAGGAGGACTTATAGTCTCTCCTAAGTCTGTTCTCTTTAGAGTTAAAGTACTGAAGTGTAGCCAGTTAACTTCATTTCAAACTTTGTGATAAATCCTTAGAGTGTAACCAGATCAATTTTATTCCATGTTTACATAGATCACACTGTTTTCAATATACACTGTATTTTTATGCCACCCCATTACTTTTTACACACAAGCAAGTGTGTTCATGTGCCAGCTGTTATTTAAAAGGGATAGCAGGTTTTTGCATGGAGGTATATTTTGCAGCAGAAAGGTTTTGTGAGACATACTATATTGAATATTGAAATATTTTACTTCCCACAAGAAAAATCACTCAAAACAAGTGAAGAACTGTGGGAAAACAGGTGTGCCTCCTGGAATTTTATACACAAGGATAATCTGTGGCAATTTAAGCTGTTGTCTTGGCTAATCAATGTCTGGGCTTTGTGCCATTCCTGCTGGTGCACTGAAATGGCTCAAGGCCTAATGGTCTGGTTGGGCGCAATCCTGMATGAACTGTGGAGAGTCTTGAATTTCACTTGTGATGCCTGGGGCCAGGTTTGATGTCTAGAACTAGATGGGGCCACCAGCAGGTAGATTTAAGGTCCACAGAAAGCATGATGGATCAGGGCACTCATCTGAGCAGAATGTTCTTTTAAAACATTGGAAAGGTTAGCAGCTTTTTTTGTTGAGTACTAATGTGATAAAATGATTCTGAAGTGAAGGGAGAAGGCATCCTGAATTATGGGCACCTCATCTGGGTTTTGGAGCCAACACCAGCATGCTGAAACAGAGCGGTATGCTTGGAGTTTGGAAGTGGAGGAGGAAACTGGGTGAAATAAAGCCGAATCTTTCATTTCCTGGTGGGACTGGACTGGCTGGGAGTCTAGTAACAGTGTGGAGCATCTGAACATGTGTGTGTCCGCACACATCCCTTGAGTGTCCACCTCCCATGTGTGGGGTTCTGCCAGGAGTCTTGTTCTGGCCTGGTTCAGGAGAAGTCGTGTGCCCTGGTGGGGTCCATTCAGGACCAGCCCAGACCATGTCGAGGAGGAGAACCAAAGCATCTGCTCAGTGCAAAGTCCCGTGTCCCCACCATGAACTGCAGCCTGGTCCAGGGTCTTGGACACTCTTCCTCACAGCCTGAGCTCCAGGATGATGACAAGGACCTGGTGCAACGGCCTCAGTGAATACTTTCCTTCACACAYGCTTGGAGAACAGGGCTGAGATTCTTTGCTGGACACTTTGGAGAAACTTGTGTTTCTGGGGTCCTTGAAATCCTTGGTTAGCTTGTGGTGCTAAAGCCAGGCCTCCTTATATCTGTCTCACAGATGATTTAAAATAGAGAAACATGAGGCTATATATGAGCCACCCTCATCCMGCTGCTGGTGACTAACTCGGAGAGTGAGCAGGCTTTGGCATTCCCAGTTATGTTTGAAAAGTGCCAGTAACATCTTAAGCTGTTCCCTTCTCTGTCCCTTCATCATCTCAGCTCAGGCTGTTATCACCCACCTGTGTAAAGATGCTGTCTAGCCCCAATGAGAAAATAAGGACGTTTGTACATGTAAAATAATGTATGTCTAAAAGCAACCTGTCTCTCCAAGGACTAAGACAACTATTGTGTTTTCCCAGCCCACTCTCTCACAGGAACCGTAGGTGAAAATACACTAAAGCTATTTTAGGTTATTAGTTATTTTTCGCTGACAATAGAGTAAAAAAAAGTAGCTATAAATAGGCATTAGTACTAATGCTCTAAGTGCCATCAGATTTGCACAAGAAAAACCTGGCAGATACAAYGAGCTGCAAATCCTGCCTATAAAGGAAACTGTTTTTGCTGTTAACTGTCAGATTCTGGATTGCACAGGGCTGGAATGGTAATTAGCAGCCTTTTCCAGGAGCCCTGCTGCCAGAATAGCACTTAATGATGTTAATAACCACGCAGGAGAGTATTTGAGAACTAAAACGCGACAGCGCGGTGTGGACCTGGCCTTTTGTGTTTTGACTGCATCTATGGCTCTCGCACGCGGGCTCTCAGAGAGCAGGTGTAATTAGGTTATTTAGGTAATAAAGGAATGGCAAGAAATGAGTAGCTAATCATATGCTTTGAGCTGGTGTTTTTGCAGAAGTACCCAGCAGCGCAGCCGGGTTTTCAAAGGAGCTCGGCTCCCGGCAGCTCTTTGGGAACGCGGCGCCCCGGGGCACGGCGGCAGCACGCAGGAATGCCGCCGGGACGCGCGTCGGAGGCAGCCTCCATCCATCCATCCGGCCTTGAGAAGAAGACCCCGGGGCTCTGCCGTGTGTTTGCAGCCCTGCTGGGCCACGCGGAGCTTTGCAGGCAGTCTCAGAACCAAGCCCAGGTGGCCCCTGGGCCATGTCCAAGTGTCCTCGTGGCCACAGGCAGGGACGGCGGTGCCACGTGCCTCCAAATGCAGCCACTGTGCTGGGGAGACAGGTTTTCAGATGTGCTGTTTGGACAGCAAACCTGGCTTGATGGACACCTTCCAGTGTGTAGACTTGCCTGTGGAAACGCTTTAGAAAGGCTACGGAAGATCCGTGCTTAAGGATCTGGCTGGCTGCTTTTAAGCTCTCTTAAGGAGTGTGCTGGGGGAAGGATAGTAATGCAAAAAGGAAATGTTCAGTGGTGAATATATAGCTATTTACGTATAGAAGCGTGATTCAGCACTTAAGGCTTTATGTGCCTTATGTGCCTTACGAAATGCAGCACRATCTCTGCACCACAGTCTTGTTTGCTTGGAAGCTTCTTGATTTAAGGATTCAAAAGATATACCTTGTGCCCAGAGTATCCTGCTACTTCTGGGAATAAAGATTGCTATGACTGAGAGCAAGCACTAACTTTTGATAGACTTCATATATTTGAGTAGTCTTGTTGGTTTAAGCCACGTGCTTAGATGTTCAAGCCTTGGTTGTGCTTCATCTGTGAGCTTGATGAGTTAATGCTTATTAAGTAGATAGAGGGCTTYCTTCCTCCTCAGGAAAGGTTCGTTGTAGCCATCCAGGTCACAAGTTTCTTTACTACAACACTTCRTTTTCTGTTGTGCTCTGCATGGAAGAAAAATGTTCCTCCGTGAGATGTTGGTTAGAAGACCTAGCTCTCTTCCAGGAAAAAAAGAGGCGGGCTAATTTCTGTCATTATCAAGGAAGACCCACAAGGAGGTTTCCAACCTCTGCCTTTAATTAAAAGCCCTGTTTAACAAGCTGTCAACTACAACAAGCAGCTGAGCTTTGCTGTGACCTTGTTGCTGCTTGTCAGTGTGCAGAAGGCCACGGGATGTGCACTCAGGTTTCCAAAGCAAACACAAGGCAATTGCCGAGCAGAGGTCGGCTCTGCTAACACGATGCTGTCTAATTTGCAAGAAGAGCTTTGAATGTGAAATTTAAATGATGTTCTTGCTACTTTCCAGTGTCAGGTTCTATTTATCTAGTGTCTCATGAAATGATGCTCCATTTCTGTCCATTTCTGGTTAAAATTAGGAAACTATCTCTCAAATTTCTCTATAGTCAGCTTGGGGAGGTGTTTCTCCTAAGAGCAGGCAGGTATTCATGAATCTCCTACTGGAGATGGTGGATCTATGGTAGGTATGAGTGTCATATGTAAGGCCCAGGTTCAGCTAATAGTAAACATTTTTCTTAAATGCATTTGAATGAGATTTGCCAGGAAGAACCTGAATCCAGTGCTCATCTCCTTGTGGCTCTTGCTGGGGTGTTGTGGGAATTAATGGAGATCTGAACAGCCTGCTTTGGTAATCTGCATTTGTGCAAGGACAAGCTCTAGTAGAAGGTCAGGACTGGCCCATGACACTAAGGGGACTGCAGTGACCAACCTTTTGATAAAACATTTCATGTTATCATTATTTTTTAAAATAAGTATAAATAACCTAAAAACAGTGCTGTGATTTTCCATATGTCTGAGGAAAGAAAATTTCCTCTAAAGTCCATGAAAGCTGAGTTTTCAGTGTCTTTGCTGTTTAAAACCTATATTTACCTGTGCAGGGTAATCAAGTAGAAAAGGGAAATTTTTTGAAGGAAAAAGGATCCCCATCGCTGTACAAAGTTCCTGGAAATCAGGACCGAGCAGCTGAGATAGACGTAGTTAATTACGTCTGTTCTTTTTCTTTGAAGTTCCTTAAAAACTCCATCTGCGCTTTTCAAATTAGCCAAAAAACATACATACAAACAAAAAACAACAGGCAACAAGATAAAGACTTGATAAGGAAATATGGCCATCCAAGGAAGCGGCCTTAGCTGCACTGAAAACCAGCTGGGGCTGGAGGGGCCCTGGCAGAGCTCCCCGCTGCCTGCAGCTATTCCCCAGTAAAGGGCCAAGCTCCCGGACTGGTGACTCCAGTGAGGGCTGCTCACCAAAAACACGGATATTTCAAGCCAGATTGGTGGCATTTTAAAACATTATTGTTGTATAGCAGAAAGTAATATCCTAGAAGTGCATGATCTTGGAGTTGTGTCTCYGAAGAGGGTGTTTAGCTTATAAAATACTTGATGATAACTACCCTGGCAGCAGGTCCTGGGAGRCCCTGCAGAGCTCCACATCCCCCGTGCCGTCAGGGCACACACTTTCCTTAGGTTTCACATTCTGCATTGCTCCCAGGCGTGCACAACCCCTACGTAAAGGCAGGAGAGGAAGGAGGCTTGAAGCTAGACCTCGTTGGAGGCCCACGCGCTGATGATTTTTTTGCCACGTTACGGGACCCGCGCTGAGCTTGACGTTGCTTTGCTTTGTTCGTGCAGATAGTTGCAGCGATAATGGCAATCACAGGAATTGTGATGATGGCCTATGCGGATGGTTTCCAGGGCGATTCAATTATCGGGGTAGCATATGCTGTTGGCTCAGCCTCTACGTCTGCATTGTATAAGGTAGGTCATAACTGTTTATTAATGCCTGTAGAGGCTTTAATTTGGGGTGTTAAAAATGCGCGGGTACAAAGCAAATCGGTATAAAATAAATGTTTTATTCACCGCCTCGTGCATCRTTCATGTTCTGAGCAGGCCATGTCACGGTGTCACAAAATTTACTACGAACRTAATTAGTTTGGAGCTGCCAAATAGTCAGAATGACTTTGCTTTATGAGCCTGTAATGAAATCTCCCTTATTATGCCGCGAGGAATTTAGTGTCATGTTTTAATCATTTCCTGCCACCGCAGCTTAGCGACGCTATTTGCAACGGGCTCAGCATGTGCAGCAAGGGGGAACGAGCGAAAGCAAATAGTGATATATAGTGATATAGTGAATAGYGATTCTCTTTGGAGAGGACAGAGGTCTCCTCCTGGGGCTGCAGTGCAGCCTCCTCGTGTATTCTGCACTGAGGCCAGGTTGGGAGCCCTCTTTKCATGAGGGGGATGTGGTGCCTCCTCCCCTGCTTGGGAGTGTGAGCTCTGGAGGTCCCTTCTAACCTCCACCATTCTGGGATTCTGGGAGTAGCACGGCCAGGAGATGAAGGTAGGGGATGAAGGCTGCAAGGACACATTTAATTTAGAAACTTGTTGGCCTAAAGGTGACTGTTCAGGGCTAGCTTGGCCAGGGAAGCGTTTGTGAAAAAGAAGTTTGGTACCACTTCAGACGTCCCCATTTTAACAACAATATGTTCACCTCCTCTGTGTGGAAACATGTAGGGAAAAAAACCCTGAAATCTTAGCAAAGTTGTCCTTGCAAAACCTCCCTTAGGTATGGGCTGAGCTCTGTCCCCAAGACAGAGGACTGTCCCCAAGGGGACATAGGACGCTCTGCTGGAGGACTTGGCCTGTGTCACRGGGCAGGCACGAGTCTAAAACCCTCTCTCCTCTCCTCGGCAGGTTCTGTTCAAAATGTTTCTGGGCAGCGCCAACTTTGGCGAGGCGGCGCACTTCGTGTCCACCTTGGGCTTCTTCAATTTGATTTTCATCTCCGTTACCCCCATCATCCTCTACTTTACCAAAGTGGAGTACTGGTCCCCGTTCTCGGCCGTGCCGTGGGGCTACCTGTGCGGAGTGGCCGGCCTCTGGCTAGGTACGTGTTAAAAACCTTACTGCCTTGTTCCAAACCTTCTCCTGCCTTCAGCTGCCGAGCTCCCTCGTGGATGGGACCTGATCCCAGCGCACGCTGGCACTCCTTGAGAAACAAGGAGTGTTTCTCAGCGGAAGCCTTCATGCATATTATTTAGAGCAGAGAATAAACCTGAACTGGTTCCACAGCTTTGCCATAGCCAGCAAGGGCTGGTGCAGACTGCTTCATTTCCTGCAGTCTTCACCTCTCCTCCTCTTCCTCCATGCCACGGAGCTGCCCTTGGTGCTCTCCAACCAGGCAGCACCTCTGTCGAGTTCAGCCCGGGGTCATTTTCATCTCCAGCTATAAGAGCATCCTCTCCTTTGCTGGAGTTGCTGTTACTCTGTGATCGAAAAGGTTTTTGTCACTGCTACCTGTGTATTAAATGGAAATGAAGAGGTTCCCCTTGGCCATACACAACCCCCCTGCCCRTTGTGTGGAGCTGAGGGTACCTGAGCCCTTCCTCGGAGCTGCTCAAACCCCAAGCACAGCAGCTCCGTCAGCACCTGCAGAACAAGGAGGGATAAGGGRAATAATCAAGACATGGTCTCATTACAGTCTGTAATTAAATTCATAGGCTAATTGTGTTTAGCGTCCTTAAGAACATGCATTGTCTATGAATGTAACCCACTGAGCTGAGGAGGAGTCTGGGATCACTGTCCTTCTGGAAGCAGGAGGAGAAAGGGTGTATGAAAGCAGGACTAGGGGCCTGGAATCTGCTTCAAGCTTGAACAAAGCACCCAAGTGGAAATGCAATACCTCAGGAGTGCAATTCATCAACAGGCCGACAGCCCTCATTCTTCCCCCGTTCAGAACTTCACCTATTTTATATTCATATGTATGCAAAAATAAGTAACTTCATGGTCCTTACATTGCAGAGTAGGTATTGAACATATATCATATCTGTGAGTTCCAAGTGGAGGACAAAAACCTCAATCTAATGCATTCCTTCGTAAACACGTATTATTTTCTTCATCTTTCCCCAGCTTTCAACATCCTGGTCAACGTTGGCGTCGTGCTCACATACCCCATTCTCATCTCTATCGGCACAGTGCTCAGCGTTCCTGGAAATGCAGGTACAGAGGACATGCAGTGGTAGGAAGACAAGGCCCAGGACTGTGCAGACAGTGGAAGGAGGTCACTGTCTACATGGTCAAAGTCTCTGGACACCTGTCCCAGGCAGGTCTGGTCTCACCCAGCTTCCCCAGGTGGCTCTAGTCATCCAAAGCATTTCAATTAGTGAATACTATTTTTTTTTGTCCTTTCTCCTCTTGCTGTTAAGTGAGGGRTATGCCCACAGCAGAGGGGAAAGGGCCTGGCCTGTGTGTTGGTCAATGTCCATCACCAGCAGAACATGCTGATGCAACCTGCATATATAGAGTCACCATAAAGCACCTTCTCGTGAAGGAGGGAAAGAAACCAGCGGCTCTTCTGGCCCTGAAAGGCTTCCTCAAAGCCCACGTGAAGACAGAGAATGTGGAGATGTGGCATTTCCAGTACCTCTCTGTGAGGTCAAAGCCATGCTCCAAACCCAAGGAGTTGGTTGGTTTAGAGAACTGGAATTGATGTGGCCTGTGTCACTGCCAATCTGACAGGGCTAATCTGATGGCTTAATTCACCCTGCAGTGTTTTGGTTTATGGCACTGTTGTTTCTTCTCCTCCAGCTGTGGATCTCTTGAAGCACAAGATGATCTTCAGCGTGGTGAGGCTGGGTGCCACCATCATCATTTGCATCGGGTTCCTGCTAATGCTGCTGCCTGAAGAGTGGGATGAAATAACCCTGCGGTTCATCAACAGCCTAAAGGAGAAGAAAAGTGAGGATCACGCCGACGACATCACGGACTCCAGCGTGCACACGAGAAGCAGAAGTAGAGCCAACGGGACAGTGTCTATACCACTAGCTTAGAGCTGGTGGACTTCAACTGCACGCAAATGTATATTCTGTGAATATAGCTGAAATTTCCTCACTACTTGTATGCTTAAAAAAAACCAACATTTACTCTGAACTGGAGATGAATTGTAAGATAAGAGAAATACATCTATAATAAATGTTTACATTTATACACTTACCAAGGAACAGGTGTAAATAACCACAATAAAAGGTTTTGTAGTAAAAAAGCATTTCAGCTTGTGTCTTACTGAACTGGCAAGTTTAAAATAGGGGTAATGAGGATCAAGTCTACACGACAAGTCTCATTTAGGTGGCAGGAGAGCCAGCAAGATCAATCCTGGGCATTTCCAGCAAAATCTCAAAAGTGAGACATAACTTGCCTTCAAAATAGAGAAATTTTGGCCCTGAGGGCTTGCAACAACTTTCCAGTGATAGCTCTGCATTTGGGGCATCCTCAGTGAAAACCCAGATTACTTTATTTACCTTTTCCTCCCAGAAGAGCACTGAGTTTTCATGAGAGACCAAGTACCTGGCAACAACAGCATCCTCAGGAAGCCGCAGCTCCCATTTTCCAAGGCTTTTTCCTCCCTAACAAATATTGTTCTTAATGTCCCAAATGCTGGTGGTGGTGGTAAGGAGGAGGAAGCATCCCTCATTAATCCTACCACCAACCACCTACAAGCTGGGACTTAGGCTGGTCTCATCTCTCTGGCTATAATGCCCTCCTGAACTATATATCTATACCTATATATATATATATATGTGTGTGTGTGTGTGTGTATATATATATTTCTTATATATATATATATTTTTCTTTTTGTTAAAAAAATACAAGCAAACAAAAGGAAAAAACAAAGGAAAAAAAAACCAAACATTATTCTGTTCCTTCATCTCTCTGGACTGCTCTCTGCATCCAGGAGAATCAACAAAATCCTGTTTTCTATTAAACACAACAGCAACCTTGGACCTCTCATCACACAGCTGCAGAAGCAGCACTGGAGAAGACAACCTGAAGCCACCGACCTCCTCGCACTAAACCCAGATGTACAAGGTCTGTGCAGGCATTCGTGCACCTTAAACCCTCTTCTAGCTCTCTGCTGCTTTTAAAAGCAGTTAGATATTGAAAAGAGTCTAAAAAGGTGATTTTTTTCTAAACAGCACTGATGGGATGATACAGCTCAAAGCAAACAGCACATGGTGGCTTGGGCAGTACCCAAGTCAATAAATTTATTTATGCTAATAGCTAGTTTCAGGGATTATTTTACAGTTTTTTTTGCTCCTGCCAAAGGGAGCACCTGGGGGAAAAAGCAAAAGAAAACAAAATATTGCCTTGTCGGATGCCTTGGTGAGCGTCATTGGGCAGCCAGGCTCACGGCAGCACCCCCAGGGCCAGGACCATCTCTCGCAGGAGCCCCGAGGAGCATCCAGCAGGGCAAAGGAGCTCCCTTTACCAAAAAGCAGGTGATTTGCAGAACAGATTTGCTGAAAAAATAGCGCATTTCTACGCAGATTGGCATTACCGAGCTCTCCCGGGGTCTGAGCGCTGCTCTAAGCCACGGGGTTAATCCAGGCTTTGGTGGTCCCGAGCGGCCTGATGCATTGCTGTAATCTGCGGCATCGTCCCGCCGCCCGCCCCGCTCGGCCTGATCCCCACGGCATCTGCCACGCAGGACACGGGAGATGCTGCTGGAGGAGCTTCCTGCAGCTCCGGACCCCACGGGGACCAGCTCCAGGCCAAGAACATCTTGCAGGGGTGCAATGAGCCTCCTGCATCCATCCATGGGAAAATAAGACTCGGCTGTGCTCGCTCRCAGGTTCTGTGTTCACCGTGCTGGGCATGCTGTGCAACCAGGTCACCTCCTGCCACCTTATCCATGCCACGAAAACCCCCCAAATTAAAACAAACAAAAAAGATTTTTAAAATTCTGCCTTGAAGTGGGGTGAACCACCACATCCCCATGCACACTGCAACCTCTGATCCTGATTATAACCTTGCAAGCCCAAAGGAGGAATCGAAGAAGGAACTGGAGACCGCTGCAGGATGCGCAGGTCCTGCTCCACTTACGGGTGCAGGGGACGCTCCTGAGGACGCTCCCAGGTCCGTGCAGTGGTGGGAGCCACCGGTGCCTCCCGGGGAGCGCTGAGGCCGTGTCAATCTTTAACCAGCCTGGGCCGAGCTGGGAAGGAGGCGCTGGAGCTGCCGGGACGCTGCAGCCGGGAGCAGGGGGGTCCCGCCGCGCTGGGGCTCGCGGCTCCACAAAATGGGCCTGGGCTCCTCCAGGACGCGCCGCAGGGTGACCAAGGTGGCCCCGGTGCGAGGTGGGGGCGACTGGCCCGTCCCGACCTACACGTCGGCCCCACAAGGGCAAGAAGCGTYGGAGCAGGAAAGAGCCCCCTTCCCCCGGCAGCTCCCGCCGCTCCGGGAGCCTTGGCACAGCCGAGTCGCTGCAGGTAAGAGTAGACCCTTAGCGATAATAATTGCAATTAAAAATAAACAAATCACAGCTTTCGCTCCTCCCCTTTGCAACTTTTTCTGGGGAACTCTTTTGGCCGGTGGACCTGCTCACAAAGCAGGTAAAGAGCCGCACTGCAATAGCACTAAATGGGCTGCAGGCCATGTCCGCACGCAGCCCCTTGGCTCGTCACACACCTGCCCTGCGTCCATCTACCACGGGGTAAATCTGTATAATTACCTCAATCATAATTAGATCCTGGGGAAGATGCTCAGCRGGTAAAAACTGAGCTTAATCACAAATAACCCCCGCGTTGGGGTTATTGCACCCCCGTTCATGTTGCAATCCACAGGCAGAAGGATACGAAGGCAGCCGGTGCTGCTGTTTTCCCTGGAGCGCAGGCACCGGGAGCCTTTCCCGTKCAGGGACTGACTGTGGCTGCTGGTAGCAGTTTCTGAATTCACTGCATGTCCCAAGACGAGGAAGGAGGCACTAGCAAGAGCTGCTGTGCAGCTCCATAAGGAGCAAGATGATGAGGAGCGGCCACCTCCGGCCACGCTCAATAAATCCGGAGAGAAAGCTCCATGCATGGCAATGAGGCTGCTCGCTTGCAGCGGGATTGGCAAGCTCAGGGCTCCTCCTCCTTATTTTCCACTTCTAGAAGTGGATTTCAGACATAAACCAAACCCTGCTCAGSTTTCCTGGGAATTTCTTCCTGGGTAGGAGCAATGGAGGGACGTTGGGAGCCCAGGGAAGCAAAGGCACCTCTAACAGGACAGCATTCACATTCCCAAGCGGAGACCTGGGGTGAGTGCAGAGCAGCCCTGGGCACCTGAGCAGCACTGCAAGCGCTGCACAACAGCAAGAGCAGCCACGTACCCCCTTCCGGACAGGAATAATCCCTGGGCATTTATCAAATACTTATAAAAACATGTATTCTATTAAAAAATATATTAAAATCTCATTTCCTATTAGATGCTTCACTTGCAGGAGTGAGCTTGCTCAAGAGCACTTGAGCGATGCATTAGGCTGAGCCGCTGCTCAAATCAGCAGAGCCTCCTAGGGAAAGGGTCTTGTTTAGCCTGCAAGAATCCACTGGGGCTGGCATTAGATTTTGTGCTTGCTAGTGGAGAAAAGGAGCTATTGGGATCTAAGACTAAAGATAAAATGAAATTGCCAATAGGTTCTGCAGCGCTGGGGTCTGCTCTGCAGGGAGATGGTGCCGGCCAAGGAGGCCACGTGGTGAGGGCTGAATTTTTTCCTCCCAAGATGTCACCTGCGCTGGAATTTCTCCTTTCGGGCCATCAGGGTTAATCATCTCCCGGGTGCTTGGTGGAGCCAAGCGGATCATTTCCCAGGCAAATGCGGCCTCTCTAGCAARGGGATCTGGCGCCCTTGCGGCCAGGAGCTGCCCTGGGTTGGCCCCAAAAAACAGTCTCCCATTTTTAACTAGGAATTTGGGCATGAACTATGACAAAACAGCCTTCCCTGTGGCTCCCCTAGGCCATTCCCCAGCCCCAATTCCTATTTTCCCYCCGCCCAGTTCTTTCCCACACTGCACACCACAGTGGCCAGCTTGGAACAGTAACATATAGAACTGCTACGTATATAACCCTGTGAGTAAAATAGCCTTCAAATTCAGCAAGGCCGCTTCTTAGTGGGGAGGAGGAATAGAAAAACTTCTATAAAAACACAGACTTCATGCACACGGGAGCATCTCTCCATGCCGGAGAGGCAGCAGCATCCCCCGGGGAGCTTTAATGAAGAGCAGAGCTGAGGTGATGGTCACGTTCAGACCTTAGTTAAAGCGCAGCCTTAGTGACAGACACGGTGATTGCTGCTTGGTGGCACATCCTCCCTGGGCATGTATTTTGTGCTGGCTGTTTTCTTGACCAGCCATGGTTTCTTGGGCAGCGTTGGTCGCAGGCCCTGGGGGAGACCAGGGAGGACACCAGGATGCAGGAGGAGGGAGCAAAGGCCAAACAAGAGCCAGGTGAGAACACAGCCCAAGACACATAATGCCACAGTAACCTCACCCATTTCTTCTCCTTTTCTAATCCCCAAGGGTCCAGACCCCTTTCTTTGAACACCATGCTGGAAACRGGAGACACCAGCATCATTAAGCAGCACCCACCTCGGAGACCTCAAGTAAGGCGAGTTTGAAAAGTCTTATCGCACCAAGCAATCCAGCCCCTGGGCCCGTAGAGGGGCTGCAGAAACCCTGCAGAGATGTGGGTTGCCCAAATCTTGGATTTACACATATCTTTATATATTTACATATATATATATATATATATATATATGTAAAAGGTGGACTGATGTTTTCCTGCAATAAAAATCAAAGCTCAGAAAGCCCCTATCAAACACTTGCTCTACTAGGATGAAGTTGCATTACAGCAGCTGTGCAATTCTTGATCCTGTAAGGAAAAAAATGGAGAAGAAAGTATTTTCTTATCCACTTTCCTGTATTTTCTTTGCCTCCCCATGTTCTCCTGAGCTGACCACCACCACCTTTCAAACCCTTCATCTCCTCTTAGCTGCCCACCTTCCAACATGCAAAGATACTGGTGTCTGGCTGAGGTTGGTTTCTTTCACTCTTCCCACCTGCATAACCCTGAGCCCATGCCCAGCTAGGGAGGCTCCATCCTTCCTGCAGCCAGGACAAGTCTTCTCCTCACAGACCCTTTCCTCACCCACAGCAGGAGCTTTGCAGCTGCCTGCAATTGCCCTTCCCCAGGGCTCATCCCCACTTTCACATATATCCTATCCTATCCTATCCTATCCTATCCCATCCCATCCTATCCCATCCCATCCCATCCCATCCCTGGGAAGCTCCAAGGTGCTAAAAACAAGCCCCCCACACTCTCATTTGGGCAGGACTTCTAATTAGAAATCAAGGGCTGGTATCAAACCTACTGCTGGGCTCACCAGGCTCCTCCTGCTTTGAGAATGGGGCTGCTCCAATAAGCACAGCTCATTCCCACAGCAGGACACACAGCTTCCCCACATCTCTCCAAATAGTGGAGGGCAAATTAGGTGCACATGGAACACAACAGCAAACCAGCTGAACCAGGATGCCCTGCTCAGGTGCTCCTTTCTTAAAATGCCAATCTGGCATGTGAGAGATGGTCTTTTTTAGTATAAAGATCAGATCAACCAGATGGGACCACTTGGGATCTCTCCACTGCTGCCTGTAGTTCTGGTCAATGGTAGGAGCTTCAGAGGATATCCAAGGACATCAAATATTGAATAAAGTGCCACACTATTAGGCAAGAGGATGAGATGGCATCTGCAATGCGCCTGCGACATCCCACAAATAGTTGCATGTAATCAGAACCTTCTTTAAAAATTTATTGTCATGTAATTTTTAGTCATTGGTCTTTTTTTTTCTATTACAACTGTATTTGTGTATTATAAATACACTGATCCTACTCATTCTGGGATAAAGATGCTATTAATCCTATCCTGGGCTTCCTCCCTGGTYATGAGAGTGACAACCACACCAGCAAAAGCCACTTGCCCTGGGGGAGTATTTCTAAAGATCATGTGGGGCTGGAAGACCATGTCCTCTTCCAGGACTGTTGGGGGTGTCAATCAGAGTATTTCCAGAGAAAAGCCCTGGGAGACTCATGGCAGAGTGGGAGAGAAATTGATTTTCCAGCCTTCAGCACAGGTGAATTTCAGCTGAAACCTGAAACTTCATTTTCCTAGAGCCACAGGGGCATTTGCAAGGCAAGGATGTGCTGGCCACYTGCCTCCTTGGCATCTGAGAGATGTATTGCAATTTACAGAGAGACATGCTGCCATCTAGTGTTAATTTTTTTTTTGAAAATTTTAGAAAATTAGAAAAATTTCCTGCAAGGGAAAGCACTGAGATGAGATTTGGGAAATCAGTATTTTTCCCCTGTCTTTTTGCTCTATGAGCTGCATCCTTGGGATGCTGGTGAGTGTGTCCAGTGGGGCTGTCCCACACAGGGCAGCCTGTGTCCTGGACTTCCTAACCAGAGCATGGGGCCCATGGCACATGTCTCTGCCAGTAAAACAGAGCTGTTGCTATTTGGTGTTAGACTTGGCTTGATCAGTGAAGTCCTTGAGCCAGTGGCCATGTCCTGCGGTGAGTTTGAAGAGCCCTTGGCACGTCTTAGCCTTGTGCCTGCCTGGCACCGTTGGGTTCCACGTCCCACCCAGAGGAAAATTAAGAATTAAAGTCAAGTTCTTTTCCTTTTGGGAGCAGAAACTGTCTATTTTGGCACCTTTTTAGCACAACTCATACGTTGAAAGCAGCARCTCCTACAGGAGGCACTCAAGCAGTGCCCATATCTTCACCCACATCTCTGGATGCCTTTGCCGTCAGGACGTGGCTTGTTTTCCTCTGAACTGTATCTCTAAATCTTGTTCTGCACCTTTTCCTTCCAAGTTCTCGTAGAAATGTCCCTCCATGCTCTTCCCTTCTCCAGAGCACATTAAACTCCCTCCATGCGTCATCCAGGAGCTCCTGGCAAACATCCTTGGCTGGAAGCTCTCATGGCTTCAGCCGTTGACTTCCCCTGGGGAGCTTCAGTGCTTCTTACAGCTATTGTAGTCAAAGGGCTGTGCATCCTCCTCACCTTTTCTGTGAGCTGTAGCAAGAAACTCACTGCTGGTTTGGTCTAGAGCAACGCAGGCATTGGTGGGGTGGACATCTCATGGTGGAACCACAGGACTAGCCGGTCGCTGCTGGTGGCTTCACATTGTAGATGCTCTCAGGAGAGAGCTTGAAGTGTTTGACATTTGTGAGTGGGTGTTGAGCTGGCCTAACTAATGTGGCCTCTATCCCAGGACTTGATCCTGGGATGGATATAGAATGCATTGGAATAAAAGACTTTAGCTCATATAAGGTGCAAAACCCAACCAAAAGACCTTAACTAGGGGAAGAAGATGAAATAGGAATAGTACCACGCTGTCCCTGGACACAGCAAACTACAGCAAATGACTACATCACTGGGAGACACTCTTTTGTCTGAAAAGTCAGATTTAAAGTACACAGGAAACCTAGGGCAATTCCCTCCTGCTGGCAGGAGGCTTTGGACCAAGTCTCTTCTGTTTTCCTGGGGCTGGTGTACCCTCCAAARTTGGGGTTCCCCTCTGGCATTTCTTTCCTGCTTGCTTTATGTGATGCTGCTGCTCTTTTCTTACCACATCATTGCATTTATTTATAGGATGCTCAAACATTACAGCTCTGGCTTTGGCAGCAGTTCGGTCCATGGAGCTAAAGGGGCAGACACTCTTGTGAATGTCTTAAGAGGTTGATGTCCCACGTAAAACGTGCCAGCTCTTCTTCTCAATGAAATCCTTGAGGTTGCTCCACTYAATTTTATGCAGGATACATTGAGCTCCCATCCTTGAAAGGAAAACCAGCAATCCCAAGCCAAGGAGTAATCCAATATCATCTAGTAGTCTGGTGTAATTTAAGGAGATTTCTTAGTTCCTTGAAATGAAAATCCGTGATCAGAGCAGTCTGTGAGGGAATCCTCTGCCTGTATCCATTGGCCACCTGGAAGAGCTCTTCCCACCACGAGCAGTCTCTGCTCAGTCTCAGGCTAATGTAGGGAAGATGGGTTGGCCAATAGGCTGTGCTCTGGGTGTCAGGTAGCCTCAGATGACCTGGCAGGAGATGTTCCATTAAATCACGATACATCTCCATGCTTCAGTTTCTGGTTACACATCCTATTTGTCTTGTCCRCTCCAGTGTGAAGCTCTCTGGGCTGGGGTTTGTCTTCACTGAGGCTCCACATAGGCGCTGTTATGGCAAAAAGAGGAATACCCATAGGGATGGAGCCAAAAGAAGAGCAAAGGTTTCAGCGAGGCTTTTCCAAATTTGCTTCTAAGCAGGAGATTCCCTCGGTTTTACCCCTTTCTGGAGCACTCCAGAAGAAGTCACTCTCTCCAAGTGCTCTTCAAAGAGGCCAGTCTCCCTTCCATTGTCCCAAAACAGGGCCAAAATTGGAGCTTAAAAAATCTTAGGGTAGTTGAATATTGGGTTCTCGTGTTTTACGGCTGTGGGGGATGAGGCGTGCTGACCATTGCTAATACTGGCCTTGCAGAAGCTTGAGCCTGCTGTTCTTCTCAACACTGAGAAGCTCCCGAGCCAGCAAGACGTGGCAGCGACTCTGAAAGCAAAGGTGAGTATTGGATGGAGGGAGGGCAAACGCTGAGGAAAGGGGCACGTGTTGCCTCCAACCGTGTGTAGCCTCCTGCTTTAGCCTCTGCGAGGGCTGATATGGGAGCTGGTCGCAGCGATGGGTCGTGGCTCCGCTTTGCAGTGTCTCCCCCCAGGACAGGAACCACCTCTGCTCCCAGGCAAAAACACCAGCTGGACCTCCAACAGGACCAAGGTGGGACGAATCTCCAACTGCGCTCCCCAATCCTGGGGAATTAGAGCTGGTCTCCAGCTGAACTATTTCTCTGCATGCTCAATGGTTTGGTTGGTGATGCTCCTGGCTCTTATATGAGTGTAGAACCTTTTGCARTCAAAGCTTTTGCTGTGTCTAACCAGAGTTTGCTGAAAAGCTTCAGAGCTTCAGAGTTTGCTGAAAATTGAGGTTGTCTTTTGAACCCCTCAACTGCCTTACAAATCTTAAGGATTGAGGGTCTCCAGAATACCCCAGAGCTGCAAGATAACATGCAAGTGCCAAGAACCCTTGAGATACATCTCTGCAAGCTGGCAACACAGGAAAACACTGCCTTTATGGGCTTATATTCCTTGCAGGCTCTGGAGAAGAGGGGACAAGCCCTTAGACAGCTCCCTGGCAGACGGCAGCACTTGCACAAGCTGCAGATGCTTGACTTGAACCGCAGGCGCTGTGAGGTARGGCTGAGACGTGGGCTCCTGGCCGAGGCTTTCCTTTTCTCACTAGAATTTGCCCTCAAACACAGATGAGAAGGTGAAACCATCTGCTTCTGCCTCACTTCTCTGTGTGACAATGTCCACACAGGCGACTAGAGATGATTTTGYCCATTTTGTGGGTTCTGGTCCTCACTCTGTTAATGACTTGGACCAAGTCTGTGCAGCATCCCCTGCCTCAGGCYCCAGCTGAAAATGTGGGTCCGGATGCTGGTTTCCCTCCCAAAGCACTTGGATACCTGGGGGTGATGGAGCCTTGCGTGACTCGGTAGGGGACAAGCAGATTCCTATCTGGGGGCTTCTTTCTATTTCTTTTTTAATTCAGCTGTCACTGGGCCACCGCATACTTGAACTCAGTAATTTCTTTTTTGCTCTAGGAAAAGTTCAGTAATTATTTCTGCTTTTCCAGAGCTTTGCCCTCGCTTGACAGTTGCCTATGGAGGAACCAAAAATGCTCAGTCCAGGTCATGTTCTGTCATGTATTTCATTTGGCAGTTACGATTTGCCCTGGTTAAACTACTCAACTACATAATTATTTTCAGCACCAGCCCCTTAATGATAGGCCAGGTTGAGCTGTTAAAACGTGCTTGCTCCTCTGTTGCTCGTGCTGATGACTCATTTGCAAATCCAGGCTGAGCTGAAGAGAACTCTCCACAGGGAGGCAAAAATCAATAAACAAAAAATCAAGGAACTCAACCCGAAGAAAGTCCTCAGCAACCTCCAGAGAGGCAGCAGCTCTGAAAGCCAAGACCTCCTCCCTGCTGAGTCCAATCAGACTTTTAATGGAGGTGATGGTAAGTAGAGTAATTTCCCAAAGAGAAATGCAACTCGCTAGCAGTTTAAGCATCATCAAATAAGTTTCCCTACGGAAGCTGATTCCACTGCTCCAACTCCTGCAGCGACGTGATGCAAGGTTGRAAGCAGTTAAGCCACAAGACAAACTCTCGAGGTGTCTCCTGGCCAGACATGGACCTCTGGGCTGCTTCTCTTACGAGATCTCACTAAACCCCCCACTGTGGAATATTATAGGGACATGAAAACAAAGGGATTACAGCCAGGACCCTGCCAGACCAGGTGTCTGCAGGCAGAAGGGTTCTTAGTTTGCCCAATATATGGTAACGTATAGAGGTCAGTATGCAAGAACGCAGATGGGAATTGCTGAAGCTTCTTTAATTTTAATGTCCAAAGGCATTAAGGAGAAAAAGGAAAAAGGCTGAGGGCTCAGCCTAGGTTTTCCCCTCACGGAGCTGCACTCAGGTCCGTGTCCGAGCATCCATCCATGCAGAGAGTGTGACAATATTGCAAGGTTCCTCAGAGAGGGCGAGTAGACACTGACTAAAACAAGCCCTGTCTTCAAGCAGGAGAAATGCTACAGCAAACAGGCTTGTTTAGCCGGGGATCCAAGCTGAGCAGTAGCCCACCACAAAGAGAGTGATTCCCCGGCATGGGCATGGAGCCAATTCCCATCCCCGAGGGAGCTCCGGGATGCCACCRTGCTGAGCAGCTGCAGCTGCAGTAATTGGTGTGTACACAATTAGGAGATTCCCGAGCAAAATAGATGAGGGCACGTGATGGAAACCACCAGCTCAGCTTGTCAGCTGATGTCAGGCAGGCTGGACTTCAGAAGAGCTATTGCGCTGCAGCGGTTTAGCTTTGGAGAATTTGGCTTTGGAGAAAGAGGAACTGCTCGCTCCCTTTGCGGCAAAAGGAAAAACTGGGTGATTTGAGATTGCAGGTTACTTTTCTGTGATCCTACAAGTCTGTTGCTTGAAAGAATAGCCAGCTTTTTCACTCCAGGAAGCCCCAAAATGCAGTATCCACTGGCCCTGGGCTAGTATGGAGATGCACAGCTTKCCAGGGCAAGAGGGACRTGGAGCTTCTAGAGAAGGTCCAGAAGAGAGAGACAAAGATGATTAAGGGACTGGAGCATCTCTTGTATGAGGAGAGACCGAGCGAGCGGGGCCTCTTTACCCTGGAGAAGAGAAGGTTGAGAGGAGACCTGATCAACATGTACAAGTACCTGAGGGGAGGATGTAGAGAAGAGGGGAGCAAGCTCTTCTCARTGGTGGCCAGTGATAAGATAAGGGGCAATGGGGGCAAATTGAAACACGAGAAGTCCCATCTCCTTGTGAGGAAGAACTTGTGCAGTGTGAGGATGACAGAGCCCTGGCGCAGGCTGCCCAGGGAGGCTGGGGAGTCTCCCTCTCTGGAGAGCTTCAAAACTCACCTGGATGCCACCACGTGCCCTGTGCCTTGGGTGTCCCTGCTGGAGCAGGGAGGGTTGGACTAGACGATCCATAAAAGTCCCTTCCAATCTCAAACGTTCTGTGATTCTGTGAAATGAGTTGTCCAACAGCTTTAATGGCACCAGGAACCTTCCCTGCTAGGGAAGCGCAGGCAATGAAAGGAGAAAGAGCTGTATGAGCAACAGCTGTCACAGACTTGCTCCTCTCCTGGCTTAATCACTCACTATCCACTATGCTGTAGGATTCACGTGCACACTACAGCCTTTGGATGGCTGCCCTSCCTTATATGAGCATGGGGTAAAAGTTATAGTCACTTAGGTTACTCACTCTTTGGGTCTAGTTTTATATGGAAACTTCTTCTCACTGATTAGTGCCAGGCAATTTCCTTCAGAGCTTTGCATCCCTTTGGGGGGTGTGTATTTAAGATGAAATGTTSCTGGTTAGATGGTTTCCATCCATCRCTCCTCATTMCTCTGGATGTCTGCTGTGGAAGTGCATCACATTCATTCAGAGCCACGGCCACTTTTACTGGTGTCAGGTCTCAGTCTCTCTCAGACCCTAAAAATAATCCTGACTATAATGTACTTTGTCTTGAACAGCCCACAGCATCTCTGGATCCCAAGCAGGGATCTTCCAGGGACTTCTTTACATGAATCCAGCTGCCATGGCCATTTCCAGCTAAGCACTATGGAACTGAGCAGGCAGCTCAGCAAAATTAAGATATATTTCTAATTTTCTCTCTCTCTCTTTTTTTTTTTCTCCAAGGAAATACATGGGATAGACAATTCTCAGAGSAACATAGCAGCCCTGAACCTTCTCCAAGCAAGAGTAAAGTTGACATGTGGTTCTGCAGGGAGCAGCCCACAAGAGACCTGTTCTGGGATAGCTCTAGCACTGACTCGGAGGACTGGGAAAGGGAAGGAAAGACGTTTTATCATAGACCGACCCTTGTGAGAACCAAGACGGAGAGAATTCCTCTCTTTGATGAGTTTATCTTCCATAAAGATTAGTTAGTGGCATGTTGTGAGATGAGAGTGATGTGCTGAAAATCCCCTGGCTGGGTCATCATTATGGTCACAGCAGCTTTCGTTTCCTGCAGCTGGAAATCTMCTTTTTTTTTCTTTTTTTATTTGCAAGGCAGGCCATCCAGAAGGACTGGATCTAGACTTTCTTCTCAATTTTCCAGGACAACAGAGAGCTTGGAGAGCTCAGGTCAGGAGAAACACAACCYGCATCACTGTTCTGAACATGACTTTGCTCCCACAAAGTTGTCTTGGATGTGTCTGCMTGGCATCCTCAGATTCCTGGGCTGTGGAGCCATAAAAAGAACATGGCTCCACATGTTCTTTTTTTAAGGAGAGACATTTTCATAATAAAGGGAATTAGAAACTCATGGCTTAGTGTCAATGGAAATTAGTGAGTCTTTTTTTTTTTTTTCCTCTTGCAGAGCCATTGAAAAAAGCAGGTGAAGGAGGAGCTGGAAATCCCAGCCAAAATCCAGAACCTAAGTTGGAGTCTCTAGCAAGCTGCCCAGCATCCAGCTTCTCTGTCCTGGTTGCATCTCAGCACCTATGGCCCATTGCAGCATATCTGCATGCCTCACAGAGGAAACTCCTCTTCGGTAAAAGCCACATGAAATTTCATTGAAAGGCCAAGAAAACCAACCCCACCACCGAGAAGGAGAAATAACTGCATGGATTTTAATGAGAAACTGCTAGTGGCCAATGAGTCTGTGTTTGGATTCTGCATTTATTAAAAATGCCCCTGAAAACTTTGCTCGTAWACCCGGTCATCATGCATGATCTGGGAGTGTTGGGAGAGCTTTGAATTCAATGCTGAGGGTATGCTGAAAAGGTCAATGGTTTAATAGGCTGTAACAACTAATCTGGCACTTRTCTATACACCTGTCCTCTTAATGGTTTGACATATCTGCCTTCTGGGTTGCCATCTGCCAACAATTAAGCTATAATTGGTGAGAATGCAATTTCTCTCATAGAGAGCTGATTAGTTTTCCAATGGTGTTTGGGAATAGTGTTAGGGAACAGTGCTACACACAGGGAAGGGGACCAGACAATCCATATCACTTACTGCACAGAGAAGAGACTCTGAGCATTAATTTATTAAATTCAAGTGCACAAAATTTACTTTTATGGAGGCAATAGAAACAGCAACCCTGCTTTTTTACTTCTGCTGCTCAAAATCGTTTGATTATGCTGCTTTCAATTGTATTAATTCATCATAACCCACAGAGAGGCAGACAGCAAGTCATTCTCTTCTAATGTTTTCTAACATCCTTCCCGAGACTGGAARTGGAAGTGGTTTCTTTATTACTGAAGGTGAGGCTTCGACTTTTCTACGAATTACAAATCACAGSAGAAGGAGGGAAAAAATTGATGTGCTGCAACGCAGCAGTGAAGATTTTACAGAAATGTTTGCCTTTCAACAGCTCCCACTTTCAAATGCTTATTTCCATCTCATCATTTTCAGAGTGTGTCATTATAGTCAGCTATCTAGAGGATGAATTTTGCCACTAAACTTAGCGGCAATGATCACGCACGGATTTAATGCCATTCCCAGGCACCAGAAACCAGGATCTCTGTTGCAGCTGAGCCCCTCTGCCTTGACCCCCACCATCAAGAGGGCGCATCCATTTTGAGGCCATATTTGCGAGTTTGTGCATCTCTCCAGGCAATGATTTTTCAGTAGGAGAGATCGTGCAAAAGGGCAGACTCTGCATTAGTAGGGGCAATGACTTCTTATTCATTTAGCAGATAAGCTCTCTGGTTGCAATACCAACATTGGTAAATCCACTTTGTGATCMTCTTCGTAGACTATACGAAACCTGATTTCCTTGTGCAAATGGCCATCGTATTGAATTCAACATGTATTGTCAGTACCTGTGACCAAGATACTCCAGATGTTTCCTCCTGCACGTGCATGAGTGGGAATTGTGCCACGTCCCATCCGGCAGGCACTGGTGCAGGTTGAGTTTTAAAGGATAATGACTAGACCCTGAGAAGAGCAATGTTTTGGTGGAAAATTGCATGTAAAGAGTGGGATTTGCCTGAGCTAATTCTAAGAGGCATCTCCAGGGGGTGACATTTCCCTCWTCTGGAGATGGGATGAATGCTCTTTGGAGAGGACAAGCTCTCCGCAAGGGCTATAATAGCGTTTGTGATCACCTTATACAGAGGAACTAGAGTTAGGATGCAGGATGCTCAACATAGACACAGCACCTTCAAAGAATCAATGTTGTCATTTTTCATCCAGTTCCAAAAAATAGAGATTTTATTCACTTTATAGGACTGTATCAGTAAACAGCCTAGCCCTAAAGCAAGGGTAGATGTTGGTAGAACAGACTGCTGCCCTGAAGCACAAGGGTGCTTGGGCTTCCTGGTGAAATGGATGTAGGTTTTTGCAGCTGTTGGTGACAGGGTGAAGGCAATGCAAGATCCTTGCCCTTCAGCTCAGGATCAGCTGAACTGGTTTTGCTGACAACTGAGCTGGGCAACATCAGCACTGGTGGCTGATGCCTGGCAAAGCTGCTTGCTATGAAACCTGCAGCTCATAAAGGAAACGTCAACAAACCTTTCCTCTGCCTTCAAAACAGCTTCACAGAATTTAGGGCTAATGCTGTCATTGCTTCAACAGCTCTACGGTTGCTCCTGAGCTGGAAAATGAGTTATTAACACTTATTCAAGAACGATGTTAAGTAAATAGAGTTGAACAAAGCTCAAAGGCACGTGAACTGGATCTCACCAAATAGTCTGGATTAATGAGCTTATCTCCTCCTCCTGGGCTCTGCCCCACCTGGTGCTCAGAGTACTGGAGCTCCTCAGGAACCCAAGTCTTCAACATTGTGCAACACCCTCCTCTTCCCTAAAGTGCACATGCACACACACAAAAGCAGAAACACCATCTCCAAAGACACCAGGATATATTCTCCAGCCTTCTTAAAGCTTTTATCTCCAGTGAGATACATAAATAACTCCAGATGATGGTGCAGAGGCCACAAGTTAAGAAGAGGGAGCCTGAGGCACAGTGCCCAGCAAGCAGGGGTGGCTCTTCAGGGAATTTTCTCTCCTTTCCTAAGCAGGGATTTCTTGGATTGCAAAACATTTTGGGGTCTATGGGCAATTCCTGCTCCTATGCCCATGTTTCTCCCACCAGATCCTGTTTCTCTTCTGGGTATCTTGCCCTGCAGGCCCTGTTGGATGCTGCCTTTCTGAGATGTCCCCTTCTTCCAGCAGTGTTATTGCTGGAACAGTGTTACAGCAGGTGACCCATGGAAGCTCCCGTTCCTGCAGGAGCAGAAAYGCTTGTTCCTTGGATAGCACAAAGGTTGTTGGGTTTTGCCACCTACTGACATGTTGTGGGAATGTCTCTTCTTGCAAATTCCACCAGGAAGGCTGAACTGTGCCCTGGTTCTCTGTGTGACCATAGTGTAACCAGCACAGTCCAAGAGGCTTTCCCAGCACCTCCCAGAGAGGGTGGCAAAGAGAGCAACCAGCTGGAGAAGCTGGGGCCTTCCTCCCTGCTCCAGGGACAGCACAGACCAGCTACTCCATCCATCAAAGCAAACCCAGGTATGTCCTTAAAAACAACCAAGCACCTGGCTGTGCACTCACCAAACACTTTGAAAGTTGTGCAAAGACAGCAGCAAGCCCATCGTACAGGAAACATCCTTAATGTGTCAAACGGATGTTAGAAGCATGCCTTTAACATGTGCACTACATATCCTTCAGGAGAAGCTCCATGCACCTTGCTCAAGCACTGCTCAAGCATCATTTCAACCCTGTTTTGAAAGCTGAAGCAAGGCATGAAGCTAATAGTGCTAAATAGTGCTAAATAGTGCTAAAATAGTGCTAAAAATAGCTAAATAAAATAGCTAAATAGTGCTAAAACCCTGCTCAGCATTAATCCTCACTTCCCAAAGGGAGCCAAGGGTGCAAACTTGTGCCTCCTGTCAGAGACTTTGCACCAGGGGCCATCTCTGCAGCAGCACTTCATGGGGTCCTTATCCTCTTGTGGGGTTTCACTTAAGCTCAGCTGAGCCAACATCTCCCCGTGCTTAACAGATACCTTTGGCCTCCCAATGGCTCTTAAACAAAAAATAAGCCTTTACAAAGTATCCTCAGTATTAAGACATACCTGTGTCGGTCCTGGTCAACCTTGAGTCTGGAGAATCCTGCATTTGCTCAGAGCTTCTCTCATCTTGGTCCATGCAACTTTCTCTCTCCTGAACTCGTCTATTTTACTAACATGCACCCAGGATGCTGGGACAGAGCAAAAACTGTATGCATAGTTAGGCTGCTGACCCACTTGGGAATTTTTCCTGTTATTATCCAGCTGCTCTGAGAGCTAGTTGATGCTTAGGCTGGTATTAGCTGGTAGTCTGGGCAGACTAGAAATGACACTTTTAACCAAAGAACCCTATGGAAAGATGGACACTTCAGTACTCTATTTAGATGCTAGCTGACAACTGTGTTTCATTCCCATTCTTTCTGGGATAAAAGATGAGAAAGAAGGAATCAATCTTACAGGTAACCCCTGCTGACTATTCCTTAGTGGCCCGGGGCTAAATGCTGCCCTCCTGATAGTTGCCACTTGGTCCTGCTTACAAAGACCACCCAAAATATAACCAAAAACTGCCTCGCAGCTTACATCTACCCTGCAGAAAAAGACCTGGCTGAAAAATCAGACTGTCTTTCTACTTAACAAACCAATCACCCCTGTCAGTGTAGGAGAGATGACCCAAAAATACAGCTTTTTGCTACACAAAGGCTCCATTGTGAGCCTTGCTAGACCAGATTTTGCTCACAGGGCTTCTCTGTCTTTAAGATACTCACTATACATCCACTTCCAGCTCCTTGCAGAGCATATAGAGAATATGAGCAGGCAACCAGGGCCAGTAAAGGTCTCCATGTGCACTAGGCTCCCCTTTGCTCACAGCGCTTTGCACAAAGACCACGACCGTGTTAGTACTTCAGTATGACTTGAATTGGTTAAA